TTATTCAAACTTCAAAAGTCATAAAAGTACACCATGAAAAATTCCTTCTATGTCAGTCCCTATCTCCAAAAGCAATCAATATTATGAGTTATATGTAGTCTTTCAAAGAGATATATTTTATGCACATGAAAAGGTAATGTGTATGTGTATATGTGAGTACAGGGAGAGATACACATTGTTTTTCATTTTTTCTACACAAATGAAATCAGTAGACATACTACTGATCATTTTATTTTTCTAGTTATATCTCAGATATCTTTCATAGCTGTACATAAAAAAATTGTTATTCTTTTCTACAGCAGACAGTTCATTGGATGAAAATCAATAATTTATTTACCAGTTCTCTGTGGGGTTTTTTTCCCAATATTTTACCATTATAAACAATGCTACAATAACTTTGTGCCACTATCATTAAGTAGGAATAAACCTGTAGAAGAGACTCTACAAAGGAATGGATCAATGAAAAATGTGTCCGAATTCTGATGGATATTAACAGCACAGCCACAGCACAATTTACAACCCCACTAGTAATACATGAGTGTGTTTTGCACATCCTTCCCAATAGAGTGAGTTAGGAAACTCCCAATGCAGTTATTTTCATTTTTCTTAATAAGCCAGTCTATGCATCACTCAGCTACTGGGAGCCACTTCCACTTCTTACAGCATCTTTTTTTTTTTTTTTTTTGGTCTTTTTGAGACAGGGTCTCCCTGTAGGCCCAGCTGACCTGGAACTCGCTATGTAGACCAGGCTGGCCTCAAACTCACAGAGATCTACCTGCCTCTGCCTCCCAAGTGCTGGGATTAAAGGCATGCACCACCATGCCCGGCCACAGCATCTTTTTTAAAAAAAAAACAGCTTCATGTGTATAGGGAAAAGTGAAAAGATAGTGCTTTTATTTTTTAAGTTTCAGGGCATGCCCAAAATTGTGTAAGAACTGACTGCCAAAACAACTTTTAATTGGATTCAGATAGGCAGGAAGTAAAAATGAGAAAGAAAAACAGTTTATTTCCAGAAGAAAACGTGTAGGAGAATGGAATCTTGTTTGAGAGTGAAAAAAAAAATTATAAACATATCCTTTTAGGTTTCTGAAGTTTAAACAACTACAAAGAAGGAAAGGCCAGTTTTTAAGTAGGGTAGTTTTTAATAGACTAGCCAAATATAAGCCAATTCTCCATGTATTCCCAGAAGAAAGTAGAGAAAACAGGACAGATTTTACAAATTAGATGCCATATGAGGAAGTGGTTTTTTGTTTTTCCTTTTAATGCATATATATCTATCTTATTATGACTAGAAAATTTTAATTCATCAAACTAATAATAACATGGGTGACATTTAGAATGAAATAAAGCTTTAAAATAGCAACCAGATAATACTGGATTAAGGTATTCCTTAATGTGACAAATTCATTGCCATAGTTCCTAACTGTACAAAAGTTTGGAGACAAGGAACAGAGGAGAAATAAAAGCTCAAGAATAACAATTTATAACTAATGGCCTTGACAGCAGGGCAGAGGCAAAACTTAGAACCCTTCTTGAGGTCATTTATATTTGATAATTTTTAAAATAGAATTTTCTTTTCAGGTTCCCTAGTATGGTTTAGACAGTCTAATCATGCTACAAAGTTGAGCTTATTTTGGTGTTTTCTTTACTAAAGAATCAAAACGCAGGTTTTTCCCAAAGCATTTGAATATTAGGTCAGGGTTTCTTCAGAACTCATCTCAGAGGACTTCCCCTTCACTTAACGGTTGCAGAGATAATTAGCCTGGCCTTTTTTATTGCAGAGCAGAGGAACCAAAGCAGGTGATGTGGTTATAGACTTGAGAGGCTTCAAGGAAAACACATTGGTAGAGTTATGTTCCAAACAAATCCAGTGACCATACGACCCAATTTCTCCTCAGCCCTTGAGAGTGGGACATGCTCCTCAGAGCTCATTCAGATTACACACTTTGCAATTACACTGCATGAATTGAAATATGACATGATCATCAATGATTTTAACACTGTACAACACAACCAGTGTTTTAAAAGAAGCTACAGGCAGACCACTTACTACATTGATATAAAACCACCCAGAAAACTAAAAAACACAACCCTAAAGGCTCCTTAGCATAAGCTTCCACCATTCTGTATCATCCAACATGGAAGCTTCCAAATTTCAAATCCTAATTTAAAGTGAAATAATCACAGATATGGAATATTTCCATCACTGCAAAAAAGACCTCTTGCACTGCTGTTTGTCCTACATTAGAACCACCACCACGTTCACCTGACCATTTCCAGTCCTCAACATCAAATGCACTGATGGCCCCTGGGCCAAACTAAGTTCTCCCTGAGTTCATAAGAGACACTGCCCTTTATTTTTCCCCAAAGTTCTATAGACTTTTTAAAAATGTAAGTGATGCAATGTGTTCCTCAGAGAATTCTATGGTATAAAGAATGATATGCTTTCCCCTGGGGAACTAAAGAACCCAGGTGCCCAAATAAAAAACTGTTAAAAACAATTACAGTTCATAAAACACTAAGAACACCATAACCACTGGAGACCTTAGTTTATTCAAACATAAGCCCTTCCTCTTACCAAAAATGACAGCTGACAAACATAAATGCCTTCTGCAAAGAACACATTAAGAGCAAGATGCTGTTATTCTGGAGACCGACAAATTCATGGAGGACTAAAGTACATTGAAATAGCCAAACCCTTAATTCAATAACAAGTGAAACAACAGCCCTTGTTTTTCACTGCTGTTTTCTACCAGGTGGCAAAAACATCTTTACATTTTATTCCTTTTTAGTATCTCTTTTTACCCACCAGATCATTTTCTAGTAGAAAGTGGTAATAACTCCCAGTTTTAAGAAGTTTTTAGGTTTACTCCCAAATCTATAACACACTGGTCCAAGCAGCATTCCCACCCAGCATTGCAGACCTAGCTTAACTACAAGTCAGGGTTTCTCTCAAAAGCAGCATTCCTGACATTTGGAGCCAGGCCTTCCCGTCAGGGCCTATTCCTGTACACTGCGGGATGTTTATCCACATCTCTGGCTTATCTTTGGTAGCTGTTGGTAACAGCTGCCTACAGCAACAACAACCAAAAAATATTTCCAGACATTGGCAGATGTCCCCTTCAGGCATCAAATTGCTCCTGGTTGAGAACCACCACTCAACCCCAAGGAGCATCCTTAGTTAGCAGCAATTGGTGCTTCATCAAATCTTTGCACTGAGACCTTCACCTTCTCATCCAGCCAGTATTTACAGACCCTCTAGCCCAACAAACATTTTAAATAGAAAGGCTTTAAGAATATGCCAGGGAAATAATAGAAAATAGATTAGATATTTTAAAACAAAGATGCCTAGGTATGTTCACCACAAACACATAAGGAACTAAAGGAGAAGTTAAATATTGGCACATACAGGGGACAGGTGTTTATGAGACATATACTTTTAAATAAGGATTTATTTGCTTAACCTTTCAGAAATTATGCTTTGAATTTTTTCCTTTTCTTTTTGGTCAAAACAAGGGCCCCACATATGCATTTTATACATCCAACTCTGCTTAGAATTTCCATCACCACAATATCAAATGTCATCACTGTTTATTACAAAGAACAAAAAGTTAAAATATTAAAAAGGCAAAATTTGTTAATATAGTTACAGAGAAGAGTTAGTTGCGTGATTCACATGTGTGTGTGTACATCATGAGACAGGAGATATTTAGGATACAAATAGAAAAGGCAGGCAGATCTCTATGAGTTCGAGGCCAGCCTGGTTTACATAGGGGGTTCCAGGCTACCTGGGGCTACAAGGAGACCTTGCCAAAAAAAAAAAAAAAAAAAAAAGAAAAAGAAAAGAAAAGAATAAAAAGAAAAGGCACCACATTGGAACAGATCCATCAGGAATCTCTCTGCGGCAGCATGGTAATTTAGCTAGGCAAAGCCAAGTTTATCTCACACTGACAACTGTGTTGGGTTTCACACCAAGTACTTCGGACAGTGGCTCAAAGAATCTTCCCACCAAGCTAAGAGGCAGGCAGGTACTATTACTATCCATATCTTACTTACAAAAGAGGAAACTCAGACATGATTAGAAAAGTAAAGCGACTTGCCCATGGTCACTTCAAGTGAGGCTCTAGAATTCAACCCAAGCACCCAGCATCCACATCCAGCAGTGCCTCAACCACTGTACTTTATGATGTCTACTTCCAGGCCTGGAAAAAAAAATGCTACTTAGTCACACCAGTTCTTGCCCATCTCCTGGATTTCACGGAGTATTCTTTTAGATGCATTCATTCTCCTGTGACGACCACCAGTCTTGACAGTAACAGTGGGTTAAGGTGTCTCTTCAGTCTTTGGACAGTGAAAAAATCCGCACGCAGGAACTTGCGTAGACTGAAATGGAGACACTCGTTCAAACAAGAGGAGGGTGAGCCTCGGTGAATGAGGGGGGTCGCCCAAATCCCTACCGCAGCCTCTAGATCCTGCCTTTGCATTGACTGTGAATGTTCATTCAAGACCTCAAAGCCCTCCTGCTCTGCTTTTCATTTTTCACTCTCCTACTCAGAAAGATGGTAAGCGGGGGTGGGGGGGTGGGGGGGGTGTTTGCGAAGCAGGGCTCTGACAGAGGGCTGGTGACCGTGCCCACCTGACGCCGGTAGAGGCTCGGGGAAAGGCTGGCATAGCGGACAGAGGTGGGGTCCAGCGGGGAGGCCAGTGGGGGTCGGGTCCGAGTCCCCCCGGCCAGGCGTGCGAGCCCACCTGGGATGCGATCCCCGATTGGCGCCCAGCAGGCGCCGACGGGCTGAGCAGCCCCAGCAAGGCCATCCGGGCTGATCTGAGAAAGGAAGCGGGACAGGAACCCAGACATTCGAAACGCGGCAGAAAATGACCTCGGGGGTAGGGGTGGCGGCGGCGGCGGGGACCCGGGCTCGCCCCAGGACAGCTGACGAGGGTCGGCTCGGCCCCAAGGCCGAGCGGCGCCCACCCTCCAGCGCCCCGGCCTTGCGTACCTGAGGCGGCCGCCTGGCTCCGCTCCGCTCCCTGGTGGTCCCTCGCGCCTCCCGCCGACCCTAGGCGGGCTGTCGGGCTCCAGAAAGCCGGTCCCTCAGCCGCCCCCCTGTCAGACATCTGCAGTCGCTGCCAGAAGCTTCTCTGCGGCCAGCCGCTAGAGGCTCCGGAAACAGCCGAAGGCGGAGCGAGCGCTGCGACGGAGAGCCGAGAGGAGCCGAGCGGGGCCGCGGTCGGAAGAAGCGGCGCGGGGACCGGGCGGCGGCTGCGGCGGGCCGGGAGACAGCCGCCGGATTTCTGTCCTGTGGAGACTGGCGGCGTGGACACAGGAACCGTTACTGCGTGCTTTTGATCGGGTCTTGGCGAATCAACGAACCTCGGGAAGATTCAGGAAGACAGTGCCGGAAATCGGGGTATCCATAGAGACGCTGTCGGAAGTTGGGGTTGCTAGGAGGTCAGGGCCGCGGGCTAACGACGTAATGGCTGAAGTCCCACAAGATTATGTTTCTGACCCAGATGAGGTTGAGAAACGACTGTTTAAAGGACGTAAAGCACCTAAATTGCGTAAGTTGCGTGAAGATGCTAAGCCAGACTCCACGGCAGTGGAAGGCTTTGAACTACCCTCAGATACTGACCAAGAGCCACAACTGAAGACCAAGGAAGATAGCTTCGAAGAGGGGAAGCCAGGGAATGCAGAGAATGTACTGTTACAGCTCACCGGGATGCCCGAGAAAGAAATTCCCAAGCTAGATTCACCTATCCAAACTAACCCAGAAGTTCCACCAGTGCTGAAGTTAGGGACACCGGGGGAGCAGGGAGAAGAGGATTTGGAGGTCTCTGTGGATGAAAAGCATGAGGAACCAGACCGACAGCCTCCAGAGAAGGCTAACCCAGATGTTTCCATGGGTGTACTCATAAAACCAGCTACGGGAACAGATGAACAGCTACCAACAGAAACCAAGTCTGAAGTTCCAGGGGCATCAAGCAGTGAGACAAGATTAGAGGTACTAGAAGAGACTACGGGAAAGATTCCAGGGCAGCCTCTTAGGGAACAACATGAAGAAATAGGTCTGGAGCAGACCACACCAGGTTTTCCAAGTGAAAAACCAAGAAAAGTAGTTGAGACAAATCTGCTTCAACAGAAAATGACCACATCGGTGATTACAGAGGAGATAGAAAAAGATTCAACTGAAGAAAAAAGTACAGAACAGCCATCTAAGATGACTAAACCAGAGTTTCCAAACCAGAAGCCAAGAAAGTCTATTGAAGAAGCAGTTCTCAAGCCTCCAGAAAGGACTAAATCAGAGATTCTAGAGGAGATGCGGTTAAAGTCAACTAGGGAGACAGGGGCAGAGCCACCTGAGCAGATTAAGTCAGAGTTCCCAGACAAGAAAGCAAGAGAGTCAACTGAGGAGAAAGCTCCAGAGCCGCTAGAAGAGATCAAACCAGGGCTTCCTGAGGAAGAATCAAAAAAACCAGTTGACAGAACAAGTCTAGAGCGATCAGAACAAACTACATCAGAAGTTCCACAGGACACACACAAAAAATCGTTTGAGGAAAAGGTTCCAGAAATACAAGAAGAGACTGATCTAGGACTACTACAAGAGATCAAACCAGATGTTCAAGAGGAAACACAAAGAAAGTCAATAGAGGAGAAAGTTCAAGAACCATCAGAGGACAGCAAGCCAACAGATCAAAAAGAAAAGCAGAGAAAAACAAGTGAGAAGTTTAAATTGGAGGAAACAGGAAATTCAACTAAAGAGAAAGGTCTAGAGCTACAAGAACTGATTAAATCAGAGTTTCCTAAGAAGGAACTAAGAAAAACAACTAATGAAACAGGTCAAGTGCCACCACAGATGACCAAATCAGAAGTACAAGAGAAGTCACAGACACAACCAACTGAGAAGAGAAATCTAGAGTCATCAGATGAACCCAAACCAACAGAGAGACATACTGAACTTTCCAAGGAAGACAGGCCAGAACCAAGCAAACTTAAGTACCCTGTACGCAAGGATGAACAAGTACACCCTGACTATCGAGCAAAAAAATTCTCTGTAAAAGGAACTAACAAAGCTAAAAAGGAATGTGTAATAGGATCTCCCAGAGAAAGTATAGAATCAATTGCTACAGATTTTGACTCTCAAGAACTCCTGAAAGTGATTCAGTCCTATGATTTTGATGAAGAATTTTCAAACTTGCTTATCTCAGAGCCTCAGGTGGAATTAGGAGAGTTGAATAGTGAAAAGAAAGATGTAGGTTTGTCCCAAGTGTTAGAGAAACTGGAACCTAAAGATAGAGAATCCAACACAAGAAATGTTAACTTAGAATTTGAGCATCTTAAATGGAGCCCAGAGAAAGTTGCTGAGTGGATTAGCCAGCTAGGCTTCCCCCAATACAAGGTATACAAAAGTATCATATTTGAGATTATTTGCTCTGATCTTTCCTCATATTTTCTCTCTCCTGATGTGTTCTCTTGCCTCTTCCTCACTAGAAATACAGAGAATACTAGACTGTGGGGGAAGCTAATTTGGCTTGTGTGTATCTGTCTGTGTCTACCATGTATGTAGTGCTGGAGATTGAATTCAGGGCAGTGGCACATGCTAAGCATAGCTATATGACTAACCTGTAATTGATACATACTTGTACTTTGGATGAGAAAGTCATTTTTCCTATTCATCTCAATGACTAGACTCCTCTATAGTCCTTGAATAAAGACCAAAAATTGTATAAGTTCTTTTTCATAGAAATCTGTATTTTAAAATTCAATTTGTCTGAAGTAGACCTTTTTGTACTTTGTCAGGGTGTTTCAGTGGCAACTCCTTTACCCTGAATTTGTACTATTAAATGTTTGCCCAAATATGTCATATTATCGTGAGCACTTAGGAGTATCAGTATAGCCACTAGCCCAAATAGGTTTTATCAAAAAACAGTATGAACTTCTTAATTTACTGATGCTGGTTATGGTGTTAGGCTAGTATAAAACAACATGGGATCTGAAACCTTTTGTACTTCTGTACTTAAAAATGTCATTGGGCATGGTGGCTCATACCTTATAATCCCAGCACTTGGGGACTGGTGGATCACCTGGGTTACATACTGAGTTACAGGACATCCTGAGCTACAGAGTGAACCTTTTCTCAACCTTCACTCCCTGCCAAAAGTAGGCACAAGAAGAAAAATTTGATGTAACATGCAAAAACAAATTGAGGCAACAGCATGAAGTTTAGTCAAGCACTTTTATAGAAAATGTATTTTCATCTCTCCTTCCCTCTTTCCTTTCCGATTGCAGTAGTATATTTTCAAGTGATGTTCTTGTACTGACAGGAATGTTTTATAGCAAATTTCATCAATGGCCAAAAACTCATCCATGTAAACTGCTCAAACCTCCCTCAGATGGGGATAACAGATTTTGAGGACATGAAGGTGAGTTGTGTATAAGGTTTCCTTGTGGACTGCTATGACTGCTACTGACCATAGGTCTCAGACTAGCTCCTTCTCCTCCCTTTCTTTTGATCCCTACAAAGACAAGAGTTATCACTTCCCTCTGTGGCACTTGTGCTCTCTATGAATGTGTTTCCTTCATTCCTGCTTTTCAGACCTTTGTCACCTCATAGCTAGAACACTGCAGTAGCCTCATGTCTTCCTGCTTTTAACTTCTCCTGGTTGGTCCCCTTGCACTCAATAGCTCTAGTTTTAGGTTCTTGCGTTCCAATTACTTACACACTGTTCAGAAACCCTCCTTGAGGCCAGGCATGGTGGCACACACTTTTAATCCCAGCCAATCTCTGTGAGTTTGAGGGTACCCTGGTCTACGTAATAAGTTCCAAGTCAACGAGAGGTACATAGTGAGGCCCTGTCTCAAAAAAAAGAAAGGGAGGGAGGGAGGGAGGGAGGGAAGGAGGGAAGGAGGGAAGGAGGGAAGGAGGGAAGGAAGGAGGGAGGGAGGGAAGGAAGGAAGGAAGGAAGGAAAGAAGGAAGGAAGGAAGGAAGGAAGGAAGGAAGGAAGGAAGGAAGGAAGGAAGGCTCTTTGGATCCCTTCTGTTAGACAGTCCCAAGTCTTAGGATTCTAGGCTGTCTGGAATTTTACTCCTTGCTGCCAGTCCTCTACACCACTAGTGACCTAAAGGAAAAGGCTTATTTTTCTAGTGGCTTTCATAACAGGTATTCTAAAGTTTACATATTCAGACTTCTTGAGAAATAAGGATTTGGTTGATCATTTGCTCTTGCGAATTCTGGAAAATTTTCAAGACCTTTAGTTTCTTGCAAGACAAGAAAAATCATAATTAGAATTCTTATTATAACCCATTGATACTATTTTTAATTAGAATGTCAAGTAAGCAAAAAAAATTTGGTGGACTCAAAAATGCTTTCTCATGAAGAGCTGAAATTCTTGTACTTAAATGTTGCAGGATTTGCACTGCAGGTTACTATTTTATTAATCTTGTTTCTTATTTTTATTTGGAAAGAAGTACACTTTAAATAGAAGTTGGAGCTCATAAAGAATGGCAGCACTTGGTAGCTATGTGAAGGTTGGAAATGCCATATATGATAAGTAGTCCTGTTGGCGTTGTATACATGGAAGTCGAAACTTTCTTTATTCTGTGCTGGCCTTCATATATGTATAAGTACCATGTGTGTACCTGGTGTCCATTGGACCCCCTGGAACTGGAGTTCCAGGTGATTGTGAGCTATCAGGTAGTGCTGGGAACCAAGTGCTGTCTTCTACAAGAGCAGAAAGTGCTCCTAACCACTGAGATACCTCACCAGCCCCATGTTCATGGAAGTTTACAACAATGAGAATGCTTATTTAGACAGGAAATACAGTGTAGTAACTGAAACAGAACCTGGATTGGGAAATCATAGAATGCACTGAAATCCTGCTCCTAAGCTTATTATCTCTATGTCTTAAGCTTATTATCTAAATGATCTTTTGCAAGTTGCTTCACCTTTCTGGGACTCAGCTTTCTCTTCTATAAAATGAGATTAAATGAAATTATGTATGTATGACACAACATACAGTAAGCATTCAGTAAAACATAAGTATCAGCTGAATTTAAGAGTTTAAATAGAAATAGAGGCTGAAGAAATGGCCCCACAGTTAGGAGCACTGACTGCTCTTGCAGAGGACCTGGTTTACATTCCCAGAGGTCATACATGAATTTTAAAATCGTTTTACTTTTGAACAGTTTTTAAAAATTAAAAAAAAAAAGATATAGCCAGGCGTGGTGGTGCACGCCTTTAATCCCAGCACTCAGAGGCAGGTGGATCTCTGTGAGTTTGAGGCCAGCCTGGTCTACATAGTGAGTTCCAGGCCAGCTGGGGCTACAGGGAGACCTTGTCTCAAAAAGACAGAAAAAAAGCCACAGATTTACTTATTTCAGTTTATGTTTAACAGTGCTTTGTCTGAATATTTGTATGTACAACCATATGTTTGCCTGGTGCCTAAAGAGGTCAGAAGAGGGCATAGGATCCCCTGGATCTAGACTTAGCAGTGGTTTTAAGTTGCCATGCGGGTGCTGGGAAATGAATACAGGTTCTCTGCAAGAGCATCCAGGACTCCTACCTGTTGAGCCATCTCTCCAGCCCTCAAGGTGTTTGTTTGTTTGTTTGTTTGTTTGTTTGTTTGTTTTTGAGACAAATTCTAGATTGGCCTGAGACTCACTGTATAGCTCAGGCTGGCCTTGAATTTATGGTAATCCTTTTGCCTCGCTCTCACAAGTGCTGGGATTATAAACATGAACTACCATACCTGGGCACTCATACATGCATGTAGGTATACCATACCTTCCTTAATGACAGACATATCTATTTGCTTATTTGTTTTTGAAGTGCTGGGTGTCTGAACTCAGGGCCTTGAGCATGATAAGCAAGCACCTTACCACTAAACTACCCTTCCAGCTCCTACAATGAAAGCCCTTTTAATACTACTGTTGTCATTATAGCAACTAATACAGACACAATTTACCCTATAACAACAGCTAAATCAGTCATTTATTCTAAGGATGTTAGACAAAAGAACATTACATTTGTGTCAGCCCTCTCGGAAAATAATTTCCCAAGACAGGCATGGTAGTATACATGTGTAATTTCAGCTGCTCAGGAGGCTGAGCAGAAAGATCAGAAGCTCAAGGCCAGCCTAGGTAACTTAGTGAAGCCCTGTCTGAAAACAAAAAGGGCTTAGAGGTATAGTTCAGTGGTAGAGCATATCTGAGGCCTTGCGTTCAAACTCTAGTATTAAAAAAAACAAGGAAAAAACAGAATCTCAAAATATCTAGTGATATCACAAACAAAAGAACTGAAAAAAAAACTCTGATAAATATTTAGGGAATAAGCTGGGCATGGTGGCACATGCCTTTAATCCCAGCACTTGGGAGGCAGAGGCAGGCAGATCTCTGTGAGTTCAAGGCCAGCCTGGTCTATATAGCAAGTTCAGGCCAGCTGGGGCTACAAGGAGACCCTGTCTCAAAAAGACCAAAAAAAAATATTTAGGGAATAATACAGATGAATTGCTTATTTATTTTATAATTCCAAAGTATAGCCTTGAGCCAGGAATTGCAAATGGCTATAAACAGGCATGATGGTGCATGCTTGTAATCCCAGCACCAGAGAGGTTAAACAAAGCATGAGGATGGTGAGTTCAAGGCCAACCTTGGCCTTGACATAGAGTTTAAGTAAGACTGGCCCTCATGATGAGACCCTATCTCAATCAAAGTGTAGCCTTATAAACTTTAGAATATCTCAGCAATTTTACTGTATTTTTCTTAATGCAAATTACTTTAGCACAAATTCATAGTAACATGTCAGCAATTATCACTACACAAACATTTTTCATTTGAAAAGAAATTTTTATTTATAAAGTTGGTTTTACAAGAGTTGCAAAGATAGAGAGTTCTACTCATTTTTCTGATGTGTGTGTGTGTGTGTGTGTGTGTGTGTGTGTATGCCATGTGTATGAGTGCCTGCAGAGTCCAGAAGTTGGTGGCAGATCCTCTGAAGCTAAAGTTACAGGTAGTTGTTAGCAGTAGGACATGGGTGCTAGGAACTGAGCTGGGGTCCTCTGGGAGAGCAGCAAGTGCTCATAACCACTGAGCCATCTCTCTAGCCCCTTATATACTTTTTAAAAAAGATTTTATTTTTTTTTAATTATGTATATGTCTCTGTATAGATACATGCACTAAAATGTGGGTGCCCACAGAGGCCAGAGACTTTGGATCCCCTGGAGCTGGAGTTACAGCCAGTTGTGAGGCGTCTATCCTAAGTGGGTGCTAGGAACCCAGCTCTGGTCCTCTGCCAGAGTAACAAGTGCTCTTAACCGCTCGGCCCTTTCTCCAGCCCCACATATTCTTAAATAAGCTTCCTCTACTGCCAACTAATATCTTATGCAACTATGGTGTGTATTAATTAAAACTAAGACTTTAAAATCAATATTGTGGGGCTGGAGAGATGGATCAGTGGTTAAGAGCATTGCAGAGGACCCAGGTTTAGTTCTCAGTACCAATATGGTAGCTAACAACCATCCATAATGCCAGTTCCAGGGGATCCAATGCCCTCTTCTGACTTCTGTGGGCATTGTACAACACAGGTGTACTTACATACATGCAGGCAATACACTCATACACATGAAATAAAAATAATAAAATACTAAAAAAATCGTGTTATTACTAAATAACAGATTTTACTCATATTCTGCAGTTGTTTACATGTTTTCTTTCAAGATCTAATCTTGGATACTGCATTGTACATTAGCTGGTTTCTTCTAATATATGGCATTTTCTTGATCTTTCTATTTTTCATGACCTTGGAATTTTGAAGGGTAATGATCAGGTATTTTTTTAATTCCTTTGATCTTAGTTTAAGTTGTGGATTGGGAGGGTCTGTCATAGAGGCAATAAGTCCTTATCATATTAAGCCCTTATCATATTAAGTACATGGTATCAACAATTTATTATTGGAAACACTACAGTGATCACTTGGTGAAGGTGGTGTTGCCCGGGCTTTCAAACCCTGTAGTTGCTGTTTCTGTGTGTACTCTTCTTTTTAGAACTGAGCTACTAAGTTTAGCCTACATTCAAGGAGAAGAGAATTAAGCTTCACTTCCTTGTGGGAGGAGTATTGAAAAAGTTATAGACATAGAGTAAAACTACCACAATGATAAATATGTTGGCAAAGATATAGTTTGAGGGGCTGGAGAGATGGCTCAGCAGTTAAGAATACTGACTGTTCTTGCAGAACACCCGGGTTCAAATCCCAGCACCCACATGGCAGCTAACAACTATCCGTAACTCCAGTTCCAGAGGATCCAACAGCCTCTTCTGTCCTCTGCGGGCATTGCATGACATGGGTGCACTTACCTACATGCAGGCATAACACTCACACACATAAGATAAAAATAATAAGTATTTTTTTTAAAAAAAAAAGATATAGTTTGAAGCTATGTCAGCATCCTACTTCTCCTTAGAGCTTTGTGCACTAAGTTCAGCATTTATCGGGGGTGTTGCTGCTCAGTTACTACCATGTTGCTTTAATGATGATTTTCTATTTCGTTCATTCCTTCTGTGTTTAATTGGAACACTTCCATAGGGAAATCTACATTTAATTGTCTTTTACCCTCATTTTTAAAAGATTCACTTATGTGGCTAGAGAGACGCCTCAGCAGTTAAAAGCACTTGCTGATCTTCTAGAGGACCTGGGTTCAATTCACAGCACCCATGTGGTGGCTAACAACCATCCATAACTCCAGTTCCAGGAGGTCTGACATCCTCTCTTGGCTTCTGTGGATATTACGTGCATGAGTGCACTTACATACAATACAGGCAAAACACTCATACACATAAAAATAAAATTCTAAAAAAATACTTGCTCATTTATATCAATTTGAATTTAAAAGCATTTATTCTATTGTTATTATTACCAGTACTATTATTACTATTATTATTATGCATTCTCACCCCTTGAATACAAATGCATGTTTTTATGCCTGTATATTAAGATAATATCTATAGCCAGGTTTGGTATCTTATACCTTGAATCCCAGCACTCAGGAGGCAGAGACAGGTGAATCTCTAGATCAAGGCCAGCCTGGTCTACATAATGAGTTCAAGGGCTTTTTTTGGTCTTTTTGAGACAGGGTCTCCCTGTAGCCCCAGCATTCCTGAAACTCACTATGTAGATTAGGCTGGCCTTGAATTCACAGAGATCCACCTGACCATGTGGATTTCTGGGATTGAATTCAGGTTGTCAGTCTTGGTGTCAAGAACATTGACTCACTGAACCATCTCATTACCTCCTCCTTTATAAAGGGATTTATTTATTTTATTTTATGATGATTATGTGTGTGATGCACATGTGTGAATGAGGGTGCACATGTGCCACAGTGTGTATGTGGAGGTCAGAAGACAACTTTTGGGAGTTGGTTCCGTCCTTCCAACATTGGTTCAAAAATTCAGTTCAGCTTGTCATACTTTTGTGTTTGGTCTCTTTGAAGCAGGGTCTCCCTGTGGCCCCAGCTGTCCTGGAACTCACTATGTAGATTAGGCTGGCCTTGAATTCACAGAGATCCACCTGCCTCTGTCTCCCAAGTGCTGGGATTAAAGGTGTGCACCACCACACCCGGCTTCAAGGTGTTTTTAGACAATGTACAGTGTAACTACTAATAAAAACAAATGTTAGTATCCTTTTATTTTAGTTTTTAAGATCTATTTTTAGTCAAATTAGGTGATTATGAGAATTGTTTCCTTTATTGTAAAGTAATGACCAAGCCCTTTTATAAACCAGTTATTAATCCTTCCCAGGAACAGTCATGATTCCTAATTCTAATCCAAGTGTATTATCTGCTTTTTTTTCCCTCCTCGCCTCCCCTCCTCTTCCCTTCCCCCTCCTCCTTCTCCTCCCCTTCTCCCTCTTCTTCCTCCTTCACTCTTCCTCCCTCTCCTCCTCCCCCTCCTCTTCCTTCCTCCCACCTCCTCCTCTCCCTCCTCTTCTCCTTATCCTTCCTTTTTTTTAAGGCAGAGTCTCACTTTGTTGCTCAAGGTGGCCTCCAACTCCCAGGCTTCATGCAGTCTCCTGCCTCAGCCTCCTGCGTATCTGGTAATACAGGTGCATACCAATGTGCTTGGCTACATATGTCTGCTTTTGTACGTAATCATATTAGTCACTAAAAAGAAAGAAATGAAGCTGTCTGTGGCCATCCAATACAAGAGCCTAGAAACATCTTTTAAAGGTTCTTTTAAAAAGGTTTTAAAAATCATGTGACATTGCTCTTCAGACTTTGCTTTTGGTAAGGCCAGTTTAGTAAGCTTGTTGATTTTTTTTCATTTTCTCATGGAAATAATTTAAGTGATTAGGATTCAAGAGACGTAGAAAATGAATAAAACTTTGATTTTGTTGCATTTGCAAGTTAGTTCCACTTTAAAAAAAATTATCCTTTCATTTCAGACGATTTCTCGGCACACTCGGGAACTACTGAGCATTGAAGAGCCATCGTTCAGCCGCAGCATCAGACTTCCCCACAGGGACAATATTGGATTATTTTTAGAGCAAAAAGGTCACAGTGGAGTAAAATCTGATTCCTTGACCTTATCTGAATTTGTGGAGGCAGCAGGATTACAGGCATATGGTCCAAAGATCATGTCAGATGATGAGAATTAGGTGTGGATGTACACTGAACCACAGAGAAATGCCATTTCACTTAGCTTGAAAGCCAATGAAAGTACTTTGGGGGAAAGGTATGGTCTTTTTCTGTTTTTTTTTGGTTTATATTTTTCCTTTTCATTAAGGATCAGCATTAGAACTGCTGGCCGTGGTCCTAATTATTCCCTGACTCTCAGAATAGTCCTCAGTGTTTCAATTTAACCCCTCTGGTAAAGATAGCAATACTCGTCTTCCTAGGTAAATGTCAGGATTCATGTTAAATTCTGATAATACACCTGGTACTAGTACTATGTTAGGAAAATCATAATTGAAAATAAAATCTCAGCAAGGTACGTTACATACCTATAATCCCAGCACTAGGTAGGCTAAGGCAGGAAGATCATGAATTTGAGGCCAGCTTGAGCTACATAACAAGTTTCAAAAAGCCACATAAATAAAATGGATATTTTAAATCTCTTTCCAGGAGACTTCATGATGCAGCTTCCATAAGGGGTGGGACTTGGAGGTGATGCAGCTGTTTAGAGGTCACTTCTGCTTCTCTATGTTGTCCTGCCTGATGGTCCCTGGCCTATATCAAGATGAGGATGACTATAATTTTGATACTAAGGTGGAAACTGTGATATGTCTTAATCTAATTAGAGTGACTCTGAGAATAAAAATGAAAACTGAGGGGCTGGAGAAGATTGCTCAGTGGTTAAGAGTACTTATTGTGGGTTCAGTTCCCAGCACCCACACAGCAATTTGATAACTTCTTCTGGTCTCCACAGATACCTGCATGCATGTGGTGCACATAAACTGACCCAGGCAAACACTACATCAAATGCAAAAATAAATTCTTTTTAAAAAATGAAAATAGGGACCATGTCTGTAGTCCCAGCACCTGGGAGGCTGAGGCAGGTGAATCTCTGTGAGTTCAAAGCCAGGCTAGTATACATAGTAAGTTCTAGGACAGTTGGGGCTACAGGGAGACCCAGTTTCAAAAAGATCAATCAATCAATCATCAATTAATAAATAAATAAAATAAAAATGAAAATAGGGGACTGGAGAGATGGCTCAGCAGTTAAGAGCACTTCCTGCTCCTCCAGAAGATGAGTTCAATTCCCAGCACCCACATCAGGCGGCTCAAAACTGCTTGTAACTCCAACTGCAGGGCATCCAATACGTTCTTCTGGCCTCTGAGGGCACCCATACACACAGACATACATAATTTTTTAAAGTAAACCTTCTATGTATATGAGTGTATTGCTTACATTTATATAAGCACACTCATGTGCAGTGCCCATGGGGGTCAGAAGAGGGTGTCAGATCCCCTGGAACTGAAGTTGCAGACAGTTGTTAGCTGCCATGTGGGTGCTGGGAATTGAACCTGGGTCCTCTGCAAGAGCAGCCAGCGCTCTTAACCACTGAGCCATCTCTCCAGCCCCATAAATCATTAAAAAGAAAAAAAGAAAAGAAAGAGAATGGATCCCAACACTCCAGAGGCAGGAGCAGGCAGATCTCTGTAGGTTCAAGTCCAGCCTGGTCTACATAGCAAGTTCTAAGCCAGTCAGGGCTACATGGTGAGACACTGGCTCAAAAACAAAAAATGGAACTGAAAACAATCAACAGAGTAGTTTTTGTCTTCTCGGTTCATTATTTTGACTCAAAGGAAGGCACAACAGAACCAGGAACTGGAAAAGATGAAGATGAACCAGATTGAGTAATGACATCAGTAGAGAGACAAAAGCTTGATGACAGTGAAAATAACCAGCTTCAGAAGGGACAGCAGAGCCAGGAAATGGAAACATCCTTCAGATTAGGAGTAGAAAAAGGAAGAACCACCACAGTGGGATTCTGAGTGTCTCTGAGAGTCTTCCAGTTGTTTACATCAGAGAGGATGAAATATTATACATAAACAGATGAGTGCTAGAAAACCCTAAGAAATATCCTCACTGTGGGTCTAGCATGGAAAGGAAAGATTATGTTCCAAATTAGATGGAAAGAATCAAGGATGTGCAAACATTAAATCAGCAGAGCCAGGTTTAGAATTGACAAGAAGAATAAAAGCCTGAAAATAATATGAAAATAACCAGCTTCAGGGTAAAGTTATTTTGAAAACATGCACTCTGACAGAAAAAGCAACTGAGAATCAAACCAAAAAAACCAATCTTCCCTTTCACATTGCAAAAAATGTCTGAAGAATCAAATGAAAAAGAAATGTGATAGACACATGAGTCTGGTAAGACGACTCAGTGAGTAAAATTTAGCACTTGCTGTATGAGCCTGATGACCTGAGCTAGGTCCTCAGAACCCATAATGGAAAGAGAACCAATTCCCAAAAGTCATACACACAAAAAATAAATTTTAAAGTATTTGTGGGAAGATAACATCTGTTCATTCTGGACCTCTGTCTTTGCAGAACTATGAGGAAATGTTGAACAAACATGAAAACCTGTCAGAAGTTAAAATAGAACATTCATGGGGCTACAGAGATGGCTCAACCATTAAGAGCACTGACTGCTCTTGCAGAGAATCTGGGTTTAATTCCCAGCACCAACATGATGGCTAACAACCATCCCTAATTCTAGTTCCAGGGTATCCAACACTCTCTTCTGACCTCCATTGGCATTGCACAACATGGGTGCACTTACATACCTGCAGGCAATACACTCATACACATAAAATATTTTTAAAATAGAGCATGCTAGGTATGGTGGCACATGCCTTCAGTCCCAGCACTGGGGAGGCAGAGGCAGGCAGATCTTTGTGAGTTCAAGGCCAGCCTAGTCTCCATAGTGAATCCAGGCAACAGAATTCAGCATAGATAGCACAATGTAATACATGGTGGCTGGAAGTGAAGTTACTACAAGAGATATGAGCTCAGACTTAAAGGCCCTCCAGATTTGAGGTAGTGAGGGCTCTTAACAGAAAAATGACATACCCTAGCTTCTAGTTTCAAAGACAAAATGGCATTTGGATTGGAACAAACACTGATGCATTTGATTCTCTAAAAAATGTAACATACTGAAACGGACAACAGAATCTGTGGAGAGCTTATAGCTACTACGGTAAGTAAAGATCTGCCATCACCTCCCATACTCCCAATCTAGCCTAACAGTTGTCTGGTAACTCTTGGCAAATTTGAAAGGAATGAATACTCCAAACACACAACTATTCCAGTGAGAAAGCAAGGAATACCCTCCAATTTGTTTTATAACTGTGGTTAAAAAGCCACAGAGAGCAAGAAGAAAATTCCAATTATATAACTAATGAACATGGATGCAAAATCTTAAACCCAAGAAGCATACCAGCAAACACTGGGTATTTACAAAAGACACCACTTTACTTCTCAAATCTTAAATATGCCTTTTCACATTAAAAAGTGTCTGAAATCCAAAAACCCACCACAGAACGAGGGAAATGCAACAAGCAGGCCCCAACCTTAACCTAGGAACTATTGGCAACTGATTACTGCTGGGTGAGGAAGAGTAGCTCTTGAAGGGAGAGACTCTAAAAGGCTGACGACTCCAGTGGACAAACATGCACTGAAGGACATCTGGGCACAAATGCTTCACTAGAAAAGGATTTAACATACACAAAAGACTGCATGAAATTGTGGGGGGGATGTCTAGGGGAGGACTCAGATGGGGGATGGGGTCTAAATTTGATTAAGATCTATTATATGAAATGCACAAAAACTCAAAAAAAAAATTTAAATGTGTGAAATCAATGTGATATATCATTTTTAGCATGGAAAACATTACGAAGTTCATGGACATAGTAGCATAAAAAATACAAGTTATGTAAAAACAAAACCATAGGTTCAAAATAATTCCAATCGAAAGTTCAACAAAATCTGGGAATCTGGAATTTAAAAAGATAATTCTAAGCCATGTGTGGTGGCACATACTTTTAATCACAGCACTTGAAAGGGAGAGGCAGGTGGATCTCTGTAAGATCAAGGCCAACATATCGAGTTCCAGGTCAGCTGGGTCTACAGGGAGATGCTGTCTCAGAAAGACCAAAAATAAACAAACAAACAAACAAACAAACAAACAAACAAGATGACACTGGAGTTAAGGACAGTTCATAGCTGCCATGTGGGTGCTAGGAATCGAACCTGGGTCCTCAAACCTGGGTCCTCTGCAAGAGCAGTCAGTGCTCTTAACCGCTGAGCCATCTCTCCAGCCCCAGGAGACACATTTTCTTTAGTGGTATAAAGTTTTCCAAGCTCCAATAAATAGCCTCTCACTCATGCTCTTGTAAGTAACCCTGACTAAACTCAATTCACTAAAAACAAGCTATTTTATATTTATTCTAAATAAATATTATTAAACTGGCAACACAGCTGGCTGCTAAAGAAATTGCAAAGACAAATCTCTTTTAAATCAGTAGAGAAGGGCTGGAGAGATGGTTCAGTGGTTAAGAACACTGGTTGCTCCTACAAAGGGTTTGGCTCCAGCACCCCTGTGGTGGCTAACAACAGTGTGTAACTCCAGTTCCAGGGGATCCAACACCCTCTTCTGACCTCCTCAGACATTGCACAACGTGGGTTCACTTACATATATGCAGATAATACACTCATATACATAAAAATAATTAAAATATTTTTAAAATAAAATAGGCAGATATAATTCATTACATGTAAGTTAATTGTCTTTATCCAAAGGAGTAGAGAAGACTTTTATCTTGATAAGAAGTGAGTACTTGGCACCAAGCCCCTAGCTAAACTCCTACAGATAGTGAAAGAGCCCCATCTATCTCATTGCTCACAATCCCAACTATGGCCTCAAGATTCCAGAAAGATTGTCCTGAAGTATAAGGCTGGCAAGAGGCTTAGTCAGCTTTTTATTTTTTATATTTTGTTTTTTAGAGATAGGGTCTCATTTTTCAGCCCTGGCTAGCCTGGAACTAGCTATGTAGACCAGGCTGGCTGGAACTCAGAATGATCCACCTGCCCTGCTCCCTGCGGTGCTGCGATTAAAGATGTGCACCACCATGCCCAGCCTTATTTAGATTTTTAAAGTATTTACATATATCTCCAAAACAAACTAAAGATGTGTAATTCTGATTTCCTTGTATATATACATGCATGCACATATTAGTACTCCTGTATGGGTGTGCGTGCATGCATGTGCATGTATATTTATATCTGTGTGTGTGTGTGTGTGTGCCTCTGGAAGCCAGGGGTCAACCACTAGTAGTATTTCTCACATGTACCTTATTTTGGAGGGCAGGGTCTCTCACTGGGCTTGGGCTCAACAAGTAGGCTAGGCTGGCCAGAGAGACCCAGGTGTCTATCTGCCTCCCCAGCACTAGTATTAGAAATGTGCACCATCATGCCTGGCTTTTATGTGGGTTCTGGGGATTGAACTTAGGTCCCCATGCTTACACTGTATATTAGTTACTTTTTGGAGTGCTGAGACAAAAGCCATTTAAGGAAGCAAGTGTTCATTTTGTCTCATGGTTCAAGGGTACAGTCCATCATGGTGGCTGGCCACATTGCATCTTCAGACAGGAAGCAGAGAAAGATGAATGTTGCTGCTTGTGATCTTTCTTATTTATATTCAGTCCAGTACCTCTGCCCATGGGTGGTGCTACCCACATTTAGAATGGGTCTTCCTACCTCATCCTAATCTAGAAACTCCCTTGCAGATATGCCCAGAGGTTTTTTTGGAAGGTGATTCTAAATCTAATCAAGTTGACAAGAGTAACTATCACATTGAGGAACTGTACACTGAGTTTCTCCCCAGCCCTTGAAATGATGTTTTCTAAGGAAATGTTTTAAGGAAAAGGAGGGGAAATATCCTCTTTTCCTTTAGATGTCAAAGAAAAAAAAAATGTTTTTTCTTTAAGCAGGGTCTCTCTGTAGCCCTGGCTGGCCTAGAACTTGCTTTGCAGACCAGG